TGCAATAAAAATACAAAGTAGAATACAGGGCTTTTGACTTTAAGAAGTCAATTACTTATTTGAAGGGAAAATCCGTTAAATCCTTGAGGGCAGGAATCATGCCTGATTTTATTAATTTAATAGATATCATTGAATAATGCCTAATATGTGCCAGGTCTGATACCTCTTAGGTATTATATTCAGTACCCAGAACAGTGGTAGGTACATAGCAGGCACTCAATAAAGTACTTGTGGATTGGCTGATAGAAAATTTTGGAAAATTGGTGTAAGGCCAATAAGTGAGAATGTATCCTACATCCTGAATGGTAATTTGGAGTCTTTATTATTTAGGAGACCAAAATGGGTTGAGATCAATTTGAAAAAAGACTTCTCCATTTCTACCTAGATCTGGGGGGTCAGAGGAGGAGGTCCTAGCTATGAGTTTATGTTAACCTCTAAGTTGGTTTTCATTGAAAACTTTGGCTGTGTAGGGAGGCAATGATGCTAACACTGGATTGGGAAGATAGGTACCTGAATTTTATTTGTAGTCATATAATACACAAAGTAAGGGAATAAAATGATCCATGCTCATTATACACAAAAGTCTTCCTTTGGACCTTTCCCTCTTGTCTAAGCACCATGTCACTATTACCAAATGAGTTCCCTGGTGACTCTCCCAAGTGTTTGTTTTGTCCCAGGATATGACACATTGACAGTAGATGCTGGAGATTTTGGAGTGAAGAAACTACAGAGTGGGGATATTCTCATCTGGGTTCTAGGGACCATCTCTTTTGCCTTGGGGTTTCAGAACTTGTATCAGTTGCAAAGCGCTGTAGAATTCAATTACCCAGGGCTCCTTAGAGGGCCTGACCTAATGAGGCCCCCCAACCCCTAAGTCAGAGTCAACCTCTTGCCATGTGTTCCTATAGCTCCCTATACTTCCTTAATGTTAACACACATGATGCTTTTTTGCAATGTGTTTGATCTCTCCCCAAGGCAGTTTAGTTCATTAAAGGGATTTAAAGGCAGTTTAGTTCAGTAAAGTCAGGGACTCTTTGTCTTTTTAACTGCTGTGTCTTCAGTGCCTTATATGACACCTGGTAACCACTCCTATTAAATGGATGAATGAAAGAGAAGAAGGACTCTATAGACAGAGGGAGAATGAGGAGCTAAGACAAAAAAGTGAGATGGTGTGGGCCATGTATACATGTATGGGGAGTCGTGTAGCCTAAGTGTGGGGTATGTGAGTGGAAAAGGAATAAGATAGGATGAAGCTGTGCTGTGGAGGATCTCAAGTACAAGTTAAAGAGTCTGAACTTTATAAGCAGTAGGAAGCCAGTGAAGATCACAGCTAAAGCAGTGAGGTATATTATTACCATTGTATTTAATAGAATTTATTCATGGCATGGGCAGCTTCCTTTGCCCCTCCTAACACACTTCCTGCCAAGAAACAGATAATAATCTACAAAGCATTTTATACGCTCTACACCCAGTAAACTCAATGGGTATTTAATCTACATATTTCTTTGGCTGAGGTTGTAGGGGCCTCAAAGAGATGCAGTGTAGCTGGGAAACTGACTTTCATATTATAAACTGAGCAGCTGGTACATGGTAGCAATGTTAAGTTTCTCTGACCTCACCTGGGTCAACCAGGAAGTCACAAATGGGAGGTCCTGCACACTATTTCCTGCCACCAGGGCACACGGTTGGGGGGGTCTACCCCCCAACCCTGTCAGCTAGTCTCTTGTTCCCTCCCCATGAGGCAGCCTATCTGATATAACCAACCGTCTTTCTCCTCTTCCACAAGGTTCCTTTCTGGTACCTTTCTTCCAGGTGGGATTTCTTGCACCACAAGTGAGGGGGTCAGCAGTCAAGCCTCTTGGCAGACTAGACCAGAGTGTCACATTCTTTGCCTGGCCCTATTTTTAGACTTCCCAGGGGACTTGCAAGGAATGAGTGGCAGAGCCAGAAGATCAAGGGAAAAGTCTGCAGGGATTGAGGACAGTTTGGAAAACTTGCCCCAAATTTTGGAATAATATGACATTTGTTTCTCTTTTTTCCTTTTTGTTTCTTTTTTACTTCCATTTCTGTTTCCCTTTCACTTTCTCCCTTCTGGTCTTCCCCGTGTTTCTCTCTTCCTTGTAATGCACTTCTCTCTACTTTCTCTTTTCCTCCTCCATTCTTGTCCTCCCCAAACACTTTCTTCGCTAGTAAAGCCTGCCTTTTATTCTTTAGTTCTTATATCCTGAGCACTGTGCCAAGTGCTTTTTATACATCACCTCGTAACACTTGATGAGCTAAATAAGAGTATCCTTACTTTGCAGTTAGGGAAACTGAGATACAGATCCAGTAACTTCTCCAAGCTCAGAGATATTACCAGGGATTTGAACTCCCCTTAGCTACCCCTAAACTATCTTCTCGTAACCACTACCTGGTCTTTCTTTTTCCATTCCCAGCTTCTGCTTGTCTTTTCCTTCTTTTTGCTCCTGCTCTTCCCTTCTCTCCCTCTGCTTCCCTTCTCTCCCTCCTCTTCTTCCCCTCCCCTCTCTCAGACACTCAGCACATCCTGGTCCCTGCACGTGTGTGGATGACCCTGAAGATGCTGAACACTATGCACGTGCCTAGAAGAGATGACAGATGGTTCGAACTCTTATCTAATCAGCCATTTTCCCTTTGAGCAAACGCCACAATTTTCCACATTTGGCGGAAGGGAGGGGGACCCTTCACCACTTAAGGGAAAGGGCAGATGTCTGATCACAAACCAGAGGAAAGGCCTCACCACCTGTTGGGTCTTTGATATGGAGGATAACAGAGATAAATCCCTTTCCACTCATGTGTGGACTCTCAGGGTTGGGAAGCTGGGGCAGGGAAAAGACAGCGCCAGGAGGCTGGTCTCTGTCAAGGTATCAACTCAGGAATCAAGGATGCCTGCACGGAGAAATATGGCACCCTACCCTGTCCTTCCTCATTTGCCCAAAGAATGTTCAGATAGGAATCAGGGACACATTGGCAGCAAAGATGTAAAGGCCAAAGCTTGAACTTGATAATATCTAAGATCCCATTAGATTCTGAGGTTATATTATTGCAAGAGGGAAATATTTATGTTCAATTCTTTCCTTTTTACTTTCCTTCCTTCCTTCCTTCCTTCCTTCCTTCCTTCCTTCCTTCCTTTTTCTTTCTGTCTTTCTTTCTTTCTTTCTTTCTTTCTTTCTTTCTTTCTTTCTTTCTTTCTTTCTTTCTTTCTCTCTCTCTTTCTCTTTCTTTCTTTCCTTTCTGTCATTCTGTTGGTTAGAGGCTTAAGCCATAAGGACACTTATTGCTCATTAAGTAAGAATTCTGGAGGTAGGAGATTCAAGAGTTGATTCAGAGGCCTCAGGACATTGGCATTGGTTGGCATTTCTGAGAACAGCCTGAGACATCTTGGCTCACATAGCTCTGTCCATGGACAGGAAGTAGTGGGGGTGGTGGGGTGTGTGTGGGAGGGGACCTACAGTGAGGAACCTTCCATTTATCCAGGAATGGAAAAATAGTTTCTAGAGTACTCCCTTTACATCAGACTCCTGCCATACTTGACCAGATCTAACTGCAGTGTAGAAAGTGAAATCTGGCCTTTTCACCTTGCTGATGGGATGCAGGCAAGGATTAGGGAACTGATTTGTCACACCAGAGTGTGCCACCCTTCATTCACTCAACTAAGATTTACTAAGCACCCACTCCACAGGTGAGGCTCTGGGCCAGGTGATGATGATGAAACAGAGGAAAAGGCAATCTCTGTTCTCAAGGAACCCCTACTGGAAGAACACAGATGGACAGAGGGCCACAAAACAAGAAGGCAAGTGCTAGGAGGGAACTGAGGGTCCCTAGGGCACCACAGGGACAAGCTGACAAGGCTCAGCTTGAAGGAGCAGGGAGCACTGGAGGGAGCCATAACTGGGTTAAATTCTGAGGGGTAAGAGGGCATGTAGGAGGGCTTCGAAGAGGGCACCTGGGAATCTTCCAGGATGTGGCATGGTGTGGGGAAAAAAAGGAACTAATGAGGACAGACAGGAAATGAGGCTAAAGAAGCAGGAAACAGCCTGCTGAGAGAAGGTTCTGTATGGGACATAATGGTCTGGGGCATTTATTCTGGATGAGCAGGTCTGTGCACGGGGATCTTCTGCAGAAGGACAAGGCAAGTCATACACCAGGAATGGCTGCATTGCACTGCGATGTTGGAGATGGGCATTGCCAGCTGCCTACCAGCTGGAGAAATCTGAGCACTCGTCTGCAGCACCCAGAGCTGGTGTGACCCAACACGGTTTTGTTCGCCACCTCCCAATATAGCTCAGGATGGTTCTGAAGGCTAGAAGATGCCTTCTGAGAGGCCAAACTTGCTAACTCTACCCTCACTTCCTCCTCTTCAGCTAGTTCTGCCTTCGGGACCAAAATAATTCTTTTTCACCTCAGCCATTCAAACATAGGAATATTTGAGTTATGATTCAGTACCCATGTACCGCATCTCATTTTACCCTCAAAACTCTGATGCAGCTGTTTCCCATCCCCATTTTACAGGCAAGGATGTAGACTCAGTGAGACACACAGCCAGACTCATGAGGGCAGAGAGCAGTCCTACGTGCTTCCCACCTTACCAGTGTTTCTCCAGACTTGGTCTCTGTACTGCCTACCTCACAGTAACCTCAGCAGCTTGGGGGCAGATCCTGGCTCCAGGAGCATCCCCAGATCTCCCAAAGTAGACTCTCTGGAGGTAGCAGCATAGAACCCACACTAACATGCTCTTCAGTTGATTTCTAGATCCATTCAAGTGTGGGAATCACACTCTAATCTTGCTAACATGACAATTTCTGATATATTTCCTTTTACTTTTGCTGGTTTGAAAAAAAGAGAGCTTTTCAGGTGAATTTGACTCATGAGCTGCACTTTCTTAAAGAATGGATCAGTGGAATCCTAGAGCATGATTGGACCTCCAGATTTTGCAGAAGCATCCCTCTCCTCTTCTCTCTTTCTCTCTGTCCCCTTTACAGAAGTCCCGGTGGCCATCTGCAGCTGAGCCAAGATGGGTGACTGGAGCTTCCTGGGAGAGTTCCTGGAGGAAGTACACAAGCACTCCACAGTGATAGGCAAGGTCTGGCTCACTGTCCTTTTCATATTCCGCATGCTGGTGCTGGGCACAGCTGCCGAGTCATCCTGGGGGGATGAGCAGGCAGATTTCCAGTGTGATACCATGCAGCCTGGCTGTGGGAATGTCTGCTACGACCAAGCCTTCCCCATCTCTCACATCCGCTACTGGGTGCTGCAGATCATCTTCGTGTCCACACCATCTTTGGTGTACATGGGCCACGCCATGCACACGGTGCGCATGCAGGAGAAGCGGAAGCTGCGGGAGGCTGAGAGGGCCAAAGAGGCCCGGGGCGCTGGCTCTTACGAGTACCCAGTGGCGGAGAAGGCAGAGCTGTCCTGCTGGGAAGAAGTGAATGGAAGGATTGTCCTCCAGGGCACTCTGCTCAACACCTATGTCTGCAGTATCCTGATCCGCACTACCATGGAGGTGGCCTTCATTGTGGGCCAGTACCTTCTCTATGGGATCTTCCTGGACACACTGCATGTCTGCCGCAGGAGTCCCTGCCCCCACCCCGTCAACTGTTATGTATCCCGGCCCACAGAGAAGAATGTCTTCATTGTCTTTATGCTGGCTGTGGCTGCACTATCCCTCTTCCTCAGCCTGGCTGAACTCTACCACCTGGGCTGGAAGAAGCTCAGACAGCGCTTTGTCAAGTCTGGGCAGGGCATGGCTGAGTGTCAGCTTCCTGGACCCTCGGCTGGAATAGTCCAGAACTGCACACCACCCCCTGACTTCAATCAGTGTCTGGATAATGGCCCTGGGGGGAAATTCTTCAATCCCTTCAGTAACAAGATGGCTTCCCAGCAGAACACAGACAATCTGGCCACTGAGCAGGTGCAAGGCCAGGAGCCAATTCCTGGGGAGGGTTTCATTCATATCCGTTATGCCCAGAAGCCTGAGGTACCTAATGGAGCCTCCCCAGGTCACCGCCTTCCCCATGGCTATCAGAGCGACAAGCGCCGTCTCAGCAAGGCCAGCAGCAAGGCCAGGTCAGATGATCTATCAGTGTGACCGTCCAATGCGGGGGAACCAGGACCAGGTGGGAACAAAGGAAGCTCAGAGAGGGAAGATGTAACCCTACTGACCCCATCTCTCATTCTCATACCTGCTCTGTTCCTTTTGGGCTTCAAGTCCCAATGGCATTGCTCATTTATTCCAGATGGTAGGACCAGGGCTCTGTGAGTACAGGCAGAAACATGGCTTCCCTCTCAGGCTGCTGTCCCTTCCCATCCTCTACTCAGTGTGTGTAGAAGGCTTTTGGGTTCTTTAGTCAACTGGGTAGAGGAAGAAAAGGGAACAGTGGTAAATCTGGCCTGGGAGGGATAGCCAGAAGGATAGAATGGCTCTCTACATACCAGCTACCACATACCAGATGGATCTCCAAGTTTCTACAGCTTCCTTGACCTGATCACCCTTCTTCTTGCAAGTAAATAGCCCAAAGTTCCCAGCCAATAAAGAGCATCAATCAAGGACCTTACAGATGTGCTCTTGAATCTGTTGTCTCAATGGGTTAAATCCTGAGTGACGGTGAGGTGGCCTTGGGCTGTCCTTGGCTGCCTTCCCTCTACCCAGTCTTACTTAAAAAGACATCCTTGGAACTTGACCAGCAGCCTCAACTTTACAAGTGCTTTGGTATGTACCTCTGGCAAATGTCCCATCTTGGTGATGCTGCAGCCTTTACTTCTGCCAGGGTGACAACTAGCCCATGGGGGTGCAAGCTCCCCCAGAGAGTGACTGTATACACAGGCTCCACTGGAATCCTTGCCACCACCTGTCATCCTGAGGCTCTTTTACAGCTCAACCTGATGATAGAAACCATCCCATCCCTTTCTCCCTTGGCTGTTCACCCAGTGCTCCCCGAAAGACCTTATTGACCAGAGTGCCCAAGAAGCCATCGTCCTTTCTCAGATCCTGACCAGATCACCAGTCACGAAGGCCATTGGAATTTCCCCAGGTCTTATTAAAACAAAGAGGGCATTGTACTTTTCAGATTCCCTTTGGGAAAAAAATAATTCTGCTGTGAAGATAAAAATAAAAAAAAAGAGAAAATACTGGAAAACTGTTTTTCCCTCCTATTTATTTCCCTTTTTGACTGCCAACTTAGAGTGCCAAGAGGAGGTGTGATGACAGCTATGGAGACCCCAAATCTCTCTCTCCCTGGAGAGTTTAGCAGGGGCATGGAAGCAGTAAGGGAGTCTCCAGCTTTCTTAGCAGGGGCCTCATTTAAGAGCACAGAGATTCCTATGTTTCCCTGGTACTCCTCATGAGACTGCTGGAAAGCAGTGGTGACTGCAGACTGTGGAAAAGCCCTGCCTTCCCAGGGACTGGCCTGCTTTCTTTGTTCAGTCCATCCATAATGGGGTCGTTGCCATTTTGGATGAAAGTAAAGGATGCTTAGAATTGGATACTGAGATTTAAAGGGAGATGATTACTTTTTAAAATGCATGCGTGTGTGTGTATGTGTGTACACTGATAGAGTGGGTGAAGGTGAAGGAAGTCTGAAATAAGGAAAGGAAACCTTGGATGAACTTGTGTCTTCCTGCCCTCACCTCCAGAAGCTGGTGGAGAGGCTGAGCCTCACTACTGCCAGTGGCATTGGCCTACACAGATGAGAGGAGAGGACAGAGGAGAGTGAAAGCTCAGGAGGCTCAGCCTCTGCCCCCCTTGCCCATCTCCAGGCCCCTCTGCTGATGTTTGGCTGCTATTGGTGGGTGGAGAGAAGGATGAGGGTAGAGAAGTAGAGGGGACTAAACCAGATGCCATTTAGGGAAGAATGGCTGGTCATCAGAGGCCCCTGGAGAGGACATCTTTTTATCTATTGTCTGACATTGGCATTAAGACTGTCTCCAAAACAAAACAAAACAAAACAAAGACTCTCCTTCCATCTCTGAAATGAGTTTTGTGAAATGAATGTTCTTAGATTAGAAATCCTGTGAGATCAGTCCTTGGTGATGGGACTTTCAGGAATGAAACAGGAAATAATATGTGTAGTTTGTCTTAATAAAACTTGGCCCTGTACCTATTTCTCTTTTGTGTCCCTTCCATGCCATGACCTTGAAAAAAAAATGGCGGGGCACCTGGTGGCTCAGCGGTTGAGCCTATGTCTCAGGGTGTGATCCCGGAACCCCGGGAATGAGTCCCACATTGGACTCCCTGTGGGGAGCCTGCTTCTCCCTCTGCCTGTGTGTCTGCCTCTCTCTGTGTCTCTCATGAATAGATAAATAAAATCTTTTAAAAAGAAGAAAGAAAGAAAGAAAGAAAGAAAGAAAGAAAGAAAGAAAGAAAGAAAGAAAGAAGGATGACAGACTTTGTGGGGTAGGGAAGCACTCAGACTCAGCCCCTCAATCAGTAATGCAAATAGCTTTGGTATTAGGCATGCAAGGGTTAAAAACTCCCAGCTGCTAATTTACAGCTGGATTCCAGCAAGCTACTTAATCTCTGAACCCTGCTTTTCTCATTTGTATATTGAGCCTCAGAATATGTATGTTGTTGGGTTGGTTTTTTAAAAAAAAATTTATTTATTTATTCATGACAGACACAGAGAGAGAGAGAGGCAGAGACACAGGCAGAGGGAGAAGCAGGCTCCATGCAGGGAGCCTAACATGGGACTTTATCACACCCCCAGCTGAAGGTGGTGCTAAACCACTGGGCCAAGGGGGCTGCCCATTGTTGGGTTGTTAAATGAGAAACTGTGAAGAGTTCATTAGAGTGCCTGTCACTAAATGTCACTAAATGTCACTAAATGGTAATCACTGACATTGTTGTCATCATTATCTTTATTATTTTCATTATTATGTTGAATACATTGTATTTGAAAACCTGGAATGTCTATAGATGATTCCACAACTTCCCCTTATGGAATTCACATCTACCTGGTCAGATTAACTCAGGTCAAATCAACTCAGATTAAGGCAGAGGAAACAATTGGAATAGAATTAAATGAGAATTCATTTATTATCCATTCTAAGAACCACAGGTTCCAGGAAATGAAACGTATGACAAAACCACATGGAAGACAACACCTGACCTGGGCCTTAAGAGGCTGGAGTTTTAGACAAGGGAAGACCTCAAGGATGACTCTGTCAACTGGGTCTTGGTGTTCCTATTTTACAGACATGGAAACTGAGACCCAAGAAATTTCCATGACAGTGGCAGCTTCTCATTGGCCTCTCCAATTGAGAGCACGTCTTTTTGGAAGGGGAGAAATTATTCCTGCTCCAAACAAAGGGTCAAGGGACCACCTAGCCCTTGAGCAACACATGGATGCTATTTCCTAGAGAAAGAAACAGAGGCTGGGGAACACGTGCAGAATTCTGTATTATCTTAACTACCAATCAGTGTTGTTCATCAGGGCAAGAAAGCTCTTTTAAAGTGGCTTGCAAGGAGATCATAGAACACCTCTTATGACAGCAGACTTGAGACTCGGGGTGTACCTGGCATCTGTTCAAGGGCAAGGTGTTCAGCCCAGAGGTGCCTGAGTCGTTCAAGTGGAAAAAGCATCTGAGATCCATTTTTTCTCCTAGAAAAGAAGCAGTGCATCTCATGGTTTTATAAACATAGCTATTAACACTTAACAATTTGTATTACACCCAGACAGCAAAAGCTAAGGGACTTATTTTACAGTGAGTATGATTACAACCTCATGTATCTGCTCTCATTTTTGCTTCCTCTTCCCTTTAAAAGTTCACCACTGAGGAGGGTTAGCTGTGTGGTAATATGGTGAGCACACTCTGGGTTGTAGGCCCCTGCAGTCCCCTTTCCTAATTTCTTCCCTCCAGTGCCAGATAAGATCAGAATTTCTACCACTAGTGTTTCATTACTGTGGTTGAAGTATCTCAGTGCTTAAATGCTAATAACACTCTTATGAAGAATCATAGTATGAATGAATTTCAGATTTCTTCTTAATAGCAAATTTACCCAGCAGGCAGAAAAACAGAAGAATGAGGGCACTGGGCACCTCGCAAGTCTCATGAAGGATTGCTTTCACGATATGCAGATGAAGAACAGTGAGTTTGGAGGGGGTGCTGAAAATAAGCTTCCCACTTCCCAATCCTCCTGTGGATACCAGAAGTCCCTGTGGTGGGTCCAAGGATTGAACAATGAGAGGAATTTACAAATGATAGATATGTAAATAGAATAGGATGAATAGTTCTTCCTCTCCTTACTTGATGGTCATCAGAAATGAGTAGGATCTATAGTTTTTTTTTATTGTTCTTTCAGTTGGAAAAGAGAAAAATTTCACTCAATAAACATCTATTGAGCACCCACTTTCGACTGGGCACTATGTCAGTTTTCAGGAATGCAATTTGATAAAACATATGATTCCCGTCTTTGTCTTTGGAGCTTACAGTCTAATAGGAAAAACGCCCTAACACAAGTAAGTAAACAAAATAATTACAAATTGTGATAAGTGCGGAGAAGGAAACAGATAAGATGCTAACAAAGGTGGAGGAGGGACATTACTCAGAGAGGATGGGCATTAAGGAAGTATCATTGAGGCTGAGTGAGATCTGACAGCTGAGAAGATGCCAGCCAATGATGACTAGAACAACCCAGAGGAGAACCCAAGTTTCTTCCAGAAAACCCCAGAATACAAGTGACCTGACTTCAGTTTGATCCAACAATCTTGAAAGACAAAGAATTCAAGCAGCACTTAAAACAACACCACTTGGCACCAACTGTTATAAAGCACACATACTATTTCAGTAAAAGTCTCTTTACTCAAAGAAAAGAAGGGAGTTCTTTTTTTTTTAATTTTTATTTATTTATGATAGTCACAGAGAGAGAAAGAGAGAGAGGCAGAGACACAGGCAGAGGGAGAAGCAGGCTCCATGCACCGGGAGCCCGATGTGGGATTCGATCCCGGGTCTCCAGGATCGCGCCCTGGGCCAAAGGCAGGCGCCAAACCAATGCGCCACCCAGGGATCCCAAGAAGGGAGTTCTTAATTAAAACAACTAAATATCATATGTCAACTTTCTAAAAAGTGCTATTTGACGTTGCAACTATTATTTCCACCATAATTGATTCTTGTAACATGCGTGGGGCCTTCTAAATTGGGACCATTGCCTAGAGTCCAGGCTGGTGGGCAGAAGACTGAATAGAGGGGGCTAGGAAAGAACCAGCAGGGGTGTGGTCTGGAGGAGTCCTGGCATCAGAAGGAGTCAAATCAATGAGACATCAAGTGCACAGAGGTGGGGTCAGTGAGGAAGTTTGAAGAGCACAGCAGCACGGAAGCCAGACCACAGAAGTTGCGCAAGACTCCAGGCAGCAGGGTGACTGCCCTGATCTGGGTTTTTTGGAGTTGGGCATCCAGACTCAGAGAAGAGGGTTGACATGGGCAAAGCTCAGCTTCATCTGAGGGACTGGGTTACTAGGCAATGCATCAGGACAGAGTCTTGAACAGAGTACAAGATGGGTGACTATTATCAGAATTACAGTGAGGTGTTGCTAAATACATTTATTGACGGCAACATATATGACTTACTAGATGCCTTCGAAGTCATAAATCTAAGGAATGATCAATAGTGAGACTTCCAGGTACCTCATCAAGCATTGTGGTAGGTGGGGAGATGATTTTTGGCAAGTGGATCTGATACTGCTCTGAAATCATCCCACATTGGTGCCTCTTTCAACCACAGGGAAGGCTAACACAGCACTGGGAAGTCATGGGCAGGAAACAAGGCTTAAGCCCTTTAACCTAGCTGATTTTCCATTATTCTGACTCAAGGCCCTATAGGATGGGGCACATTTACTTGCTAACAAGGGCTTCCTCTGAAAGAAAGGGAGAGAGCCGGAGAGCTGGAGAGCCGCTGTGCGAGAAGCCACTCAGGAGAGCTCTTGCACTGGGCTCTGCAGCCCGGTCTAGCTAAATCCCATAGCCTGCCTTCAAACAATAGTGGGCATTCAGATGAGGGTGGAAAGTTGTTGTATGCTTTCCTGGGACTTTTCTTTGAATGGATCAAAATATTACTTGGAACGGGTTAAGCTTACAATGTTTAAGCCAAAACTGTACATTTGGAAACCAATGTCAAAACTGTTTAGGATGCCATTAGCTGGGGAAAAATCAATTAAAAAAAAACTACCCCGTATATTTTGGTAATAATTATGAAACAAACTTGGAATTGTTAAGTGTTATTTTCTAGGCCCTGTGCTAACTTTATGAGTTATCATTTCATCCTTATAATAATCCTATGAGGTCATTTGATCCCCCCCCTGCCGCCCTCTTACCAGATAAGGAAACAGATTCAGTAACCTACACAGCTAGTTGGTGGTAGAAGTGTGATTCAAACACTCATCTCTTTGTCTACAGCATGCTTCTCTTAAGTGCTTATCATATATTTTTATGTAAAAAAGCAAGATACAAGATTGTACCCATATCACGATTATTATGTGTAAAGTAGACACTTAAAAGAATGAAGGAAAACTGTCATCAGGGAGAAAAACCATGAGAGACTCTTAACTCTAAGAAACAAACTAACGATTGCTAGACAGGAGGTGGGTGGAGGGATGGGGTAACTGGGTGATGGGCATTAAGGAGGGCACATGATATGAAGAGCACTGGGTGTTATGCCCAACTGATAAATCATTACACACTACATCTGAAGCTAAGAATGGACTTTATGTTGGCTAATTGAATATAAATTTTAAAAAAAATAGTCAAATGTGACCTGAAAAAAAATTAAAAGAACAAAGATTTGAAAGAAACAAACAAAAATGAAAGCAGTTGTGCCAGTACAGCGGATCTGTGGGAATGCTTTAATTCCCTTATTTCTAAACTATTTTAATGTTATCATGTTATTTTTATAATTAAAAAATTTTAAATGTATTTATGTTCAACCTTCAGGCTAAATTTGGTGCTCCCTTGGGGTGACTGCTGGGAGCTGCCTCTCTTCATTTCCGCAGTTCTCATGCCTGGGAAAATCTGTCTTTATTTGGGTTCTGAGTGCCACCCTTAAATGGAATAAGATTAGCAGGAGGCACCCACCATAGGGTTGTGGCTGCTGACTCTGAGACAGTAGATGGTCAGCCAGCTGTACCTCTGGATGTGGCCAAGCACTGGAGTCAGTGTGGGAAGCCCTTGCACTATATTAGGTCAGGTTCACAGGCCGGCGCTGTTTGGACGGCTCAAGAGCATACCCATAGGAGAGCCCCCAGGTGCTCAGACCCAGTAGGAGAAGAGAACCATGGCATATTCCAAGGGAAAAGCTGAATGTGGCTAGAGGAATGGCAGTGCAGGCCCTCAGTTCAAGGTGAGGACCTGGGGAGAGGGAAATATTCGCAGGAAAAGCTTCATAGAGTAAGTGCCATTTGAAATTGGCTGTGAAAGATGAATAAGACGGTATGTTCCAGGAGCTACAAGGAACCAGGAGGGGAAGATGAGGCCAGGAGGTGGGAAGTGCACTTGTGGAAATTGCTTGAGTGTACCTTTCACTCTGTAGACAGTAAGGAACTACTGAGTTTGTTTGGGCATCTGAGGAGTGGGATGAATGATCAGCATGCTTTGAGGTTGACTAGAGGCAGGAGCTTGCATCCCTGGGCTGCAGGGAATAGACCCTGGAGGCTGGGAGGCTGTGGTCAACCACGAGGCTCCCTTTTGAACCAGGGATGAAATGAGAGAACATAGAGCCTCAACCATGGGAACTAGGTATAGGGTGAGGATGGTGGTAGGAGAAGGAAGCCAGGGATAATGAAGTGATTTCAGGTCTGTGTGACCATTTATTTATTTATTTCAACAAAATTCATTCCATTCATTTAGTTAACACAAATATAATGTGGGTCTGCTCTGTACCTCATGCAGCGCCAGGACCTGGGGAGGAAATCTGTGGTAAGACGGTGATTATTATACAGTAGAAGGACAATGGGTATTGTAGATCCCTTTTTTTTTGGTATCACTTCGAATATTCTTGTCCCACCTGCCTCTTGTTCCAGCTGCCCATGGGTGAGGACCAAACTTACACAGGTGCATCTGACACCCCTCCAGATTTCC